AACGAACATTTTTTAAAATCTTCTTGCATAAGATTCAAAAGTTTATTTTTAATATTCAATTTGTTTCATGCTGTAAATAGGGTTTGAAACTATTCATTCTAATTTTCCACTGAATTTTGTATGATTAGTGATAATTTTCTTAAGGTGGCCAAACTGGTACAAGTTAAGAATGTTCTCAAACAACTGTGCTGTCCCATGTTCAAAAAGTTGCATCTGTGAAAATCACTAATAATGTTTGGAATCATTTCTGCTCATTGGAAGAAATATACGTTGAAATAAGTTAGCTTTTTTTTTTTTTAATTCTTTATTTAAGAGATTTTTAGTCTTATACCCTGGACAGACTATGGCTTATATCATGTAATATAGGCTGTCTTGCAATGAGCACTCATACATTGGATTTCCAGTGAAAACAAGATGTATGAGTGTTCATTGCAAGACAGCCTATATTACATGATATAAGCCATAGTCTGTCCGGGGTATTAGGCTAGTTCATCTCTAATAAAATAAGTTAGTGCATTGTTCACATTTCAACAGAATCAATATGTTTGAGTGAAAACTACAGAAGTTACCTTTAATGAAACCAGTTAAGCCTATTTTTATACGAACAATATTTTTTGGGTCTGTTATGCCGAGGAATTTGCTATAAAGCAGGGAATTCTACGCATGTCAGTCCCACTAGGAACTGTTACTTTCCATGTTGCTTTGATGGCCACGTTGCGTTTGACGTGTTTACTCTTGCATGATTGCATGAGCGTGCTAGCGTCCTCCGCGAATTTTTGGAAGTTCTTGGATAATTTGCATAGGTTTGCATCATTAATTGATACCAATCATAAGTGTATTGACATTGCTGCAACCGTCGTTTGCTAGTTTTTTTTAAAGCCATTGAAAGTAATATAATCAATACGTCACACGATCGTCGATCGTGGACTTCGATGATTTCAAGAAATACTTTGGAAGGGCACCGTTAGGGCTTCCTTCCGTCCGAAGTTGACCTTTATACTACTTATTATTATATTATACTAGCTGAGAGTGCCCGGCCCGGCTCGGGATTCAATATTAGCTTGAGTTTATGCGCCAACTAAAAAAAGCATGCTATATTGTACGTAGCCCCTCCCCTTTATCTAAGGGGCTACCCCCTATGACCACCACATGCCAGATTTGGTTCCATTTGCTTAATTAGTTCTCGAGTTATGCAGAAATTTCTGTTTCATTTGTATGGGAGCCCCTCTTTACAGAGGAGGGAGGGGTCAGACAGACAGACAGACAGACAGACAGACAGACAGACAGACAGACAGACAGACAGACCGACAGACAGACAGACAGACCGACAGACAGACAGACAGACAGACAGACAGACAGACAGACAGACAGACAGACAGACAGACAGACAGACAGACAGACAGACAGACAGACAGACAGACAGACAGACAGACAGACAGACAGACAGACAGACAGACAGACAGACAGACAGACAGACAGACAGACAGACAGACAGACAGACAGACAGACAGACAGACAGACAGACAGACAGACAGACAGACAGACAGACAGACAGACAGACAGACAGACAGACAGACAGACAGACAGACAGACAGACAGACAGACAGACAGACAGACAGACAGACAGACAGACAGACAGACAGACAGACAGACAGACAGACAGACAGACAGACAGACAGACAGACAGACAGACAGACAGACAGACAGACAGACAGACAGACAGACAGACAGACAGACAGACAGACAGACAGACAGACAGACAGACAGACAGACAGACAGACAGACAGACAGACAGACAGACAGACAGACAGACAGACAGACAGACAGACAGACAGACAGACAGACAGACAGACAGACAGACAGACAGACAGACAGACAGACAGACAGACAGACAGACAGACAGACAGACAGACAGACAGACAGACAGACAGACAGACAGACAGACAGACAGACAGACAGACAGACAGACAGACAGACAGACAGACAGACAGACAGACAGACAGACAGACAGACAGACAGACAGACAGACAGACAGACAGACAGACAGACAGACAGACAGACAGACAGACAGACAGACAGACAGACAGACAGACAGACAGACAGACAGACAGACAGACAGACAGACAGACAGACAGACAGACAGACAGACAGACAGACAGACAGACAGACAGACAGACAGACAGACAGACAGACAGACAGACAGACAGACAGACAGACAGACAGACAGACAGACAGACAGACAGACAGACAGACAGACAGACAGACAGACAGACAGACAGACAGACAGACAGACAGACAGACAGACAGACAGACAGACAGACAGACAGACAGACAGACAGACAGACAGACAGACAGACAGACAGACAGACAGACAGACAGACAGACAGACAGACAGACAGACAGACAGACAGACAGACAGACAGACAGACAGACAGACAGACAGACAGACAGACAGATAGATAGATAGATTAGGGGCTTTTCATAAAACACGTAGACACGATAGGTGATGTCTAATCATATATTGTTTGAAATTAGGACTCTTACCTGGTGTTTTAATTTGAACTCGTGTTTCTCTTAATATTAATCTATGTATATCTATCTATATCTATATATATAAAAATGAATTTCTGTCTGTCTGTCTGTCTGTCTGTCTGACCCTTATAGACTCGGAAACTACTGAACCGATTGGCGTGAAAATTTGTATACAGGGGTTTTTGGGGCCGTGGAAGGTTCTTATGATGGTTCGAGACCCCTCCCCCTTCTGTAAGGGGGGGCTCCCATACAAATGAAACAGAAATTTCTGCATAACTCGAGAACTAATCAAGCAAATGGAACCAAATTAGGCATGTGGGGGCGAGTGTGGGGGTATAAGGAGATAATCATAGGGGGTAGCCCCTTAGATAATAGGGGGAGGGGCTACGTACAATACAGCATGCTTTTTTTTTAAATCGGCGCATAAACTCAAGCTAATATTGAATCCCGAGCAAGACCGGGCACACTCAGCTAGTACATAATATAAAATAAAACTCCTACTTCCCGAAATGGCTCCTACCGGTTCTTTTCATCATATGAATCCTGTTGCAATCATTCGTTTACTCAAATCAATTCGTTTCTAATAAATTCAGTAAATATGTAAAAAAATTGTGGGACGGTTATGCGTAGAATTTCAACATGGGACAATTAGCCTTGATGTTGTTTTTATATAAGAACAAATTACATGTTTTTCTATTTTCATTCGAAAATTTACCTAAAAAGTACGGTTTTTATGAACAAAAGTGAAAAACGTCCAAAAGTAACATTGCGAGATATGCGTAGAACGGCAGTGTGGAAGTGTTAAAAAAACACCAAGTACTGGTTTTAAAGAAGTTGAAGAGGAATAATAATAATTATACGTTTTTTTTTTGGGGCGACTCCGGCGTAGTGGTTAACATCCATGCCTCTCACGCCAAAGTCACAAGTTCAAATCTCACCCCCGGACAAGTCACGAATAACCCAAAAGTGTTAAAGTGACTATAATAAAAAAAAAAAAGTTTTTTGTAAGGCAAACAAAGATGTACTTAAGAAGCATATAGAAGAGCTATTGCTGATCTTTAATCTACGAGATTTGAATCCATTTCAATCAATATTTTCCTGAGTTCCACTAATATGTATGTTCTTTAGAGATATAGGCCACTCCCATTTATAGTTAATTTTAACAACAAGACAAGCACATTAAGGTAAATGGGAAATGAAATGGGTCAACATACAGATCAAAACCAAGGAAGACAGCGACCGTTGTTTTTATGTCAAAGTAAATGAGAACATTCTAAAAATAACCAGATAAGATGGCAGTTCATGATCGACATCATACGTCGTAGTGAGTTGAAATTGTTACCTACTTTGTACCCCGTTCACACTACAGTTTATATTACGTGATGTAGAGTATCTTGATATCAAACGTCATACATATTATTTCCAGTGAAAAATGGATGTATGGATTCTGATATAAAGATAGGTTAGAACACGGCTGTAGTGTGAACGGGATATAAGTCGTGTGCCCACCGGAATCGGTTGTTTCCTACGTAGGTATGACAATTTATTGAAATTGGTGTTAGTTAAATTGAGCAATCTCAATGTAATTTTGAAACTTCGGTTCGCTTCAACTCTGTGTACGTTTTCAATCGAAACATTACCAATCTGAACACCGCGCGTGCAAATAGCCAAACCGACTGACTGAGCAAAACGTTGTGAATCTTTGAACCATCAGGGGTAAGCTAGAGCAGAGGTATGGTTGCACCACATGACAGAGGAGCACGAGTAGGATGCGCAGAGCGGAGTAGGTCGGTCGTGTAGGAACGCTGACTGGGTTCATCTCAGCAGTTAGTGAAATGGGCATACGAAGACAGTGCGGCAAAATATCTGCCTTATTTTTAGACCTTCTTTCAGAGGTGATCAGCACAGAATGCCTGTTTTGTATATATTCTGCAGTCGGATTGGAAAATCCCTGAACCTCGAAGGGAAACCAGATATCCACAACCGGAAGATACAACCATCATAGATTATGTTGTTGTGTGTATGGATGCAGTTAGTGACTTTTTCGTGGTGTTTCATGTGTTGATAATATTCTGAAAGTTTGCATTTTGATAGATCGTGATCATAAGGTGATCGTTCGTCGAACTTTTCTTGTTAATGACAATATCATTTTGGTAAGGATTTTTCGTTTGAACTATTGTGTGTATGTGGAACGACGACATCACTTTGTTATCAGAATGAGAAAACCCAGAATAGAGGTCAGATTATCTTTGCATTATTGTTAGGTTGTTTTGTTGTTACTTGTTATTACACACAGTATCGAGTGTTTGTGCCATTTGATTAAAATAGAATAGCCAACGCGGCTATTCATGAGCAGTAGGGCTGAAGAAACACAATTTGAATTTTATATTGTGCGTTAAATTGTGATAAAAATAATGAGGTGTTTTTGTTTAAGAATTCATGGTGAAATATCTTTTGTTCTGAAACAGCCAACAGCAAAGAATAATAATCATCAGTGGAAGTGAACTGAGCTTGAAAGACAAGGAGTGTCTTGAATTCGATTTTCTGTTCCGTGATTCGATCAATAGCGCTCAGCCAGAGTGATTATCTTCCCCCTATCTGGAAGGCTCTGACGTTTCATAGAGTGCTGTCAGTTGTAACTATGTGTATGTAGCGAGAAGACAAACAGCTGTGAACTTCTTTTCCTCGTGTGGTTGCTGTAAGTGCAAGCAGTGCATAACACCGTAGAAAAGCCAAAGTATCAAAACAGCCAAAAGCCAAAACAGAGAAGAACGGCACTCGGAGCGTTGCCGCCGCTACTGGTGCTGGTGATTCACGATGTTAGGACGTGTTCGGCTTAAAGAAGACGGCATCATGGACGAGGAGCTGCCCACGCTGCTCGAGACGACGTTTCGTTATCTGGCCAAAAACCTGCACGTCGTCTGCAATGTTGATCCGGTGACACACCACCTAGAGCTGAAGGATGATATTGTCATTCCGAACGAAATTTGTGATAGGTAAGTGTTGCATGTCCTGTTGTTATTATTTTTTTTTTTTATTGTTTAAGGTATTGTACGGTTTCATTCATTTTACACCTATTTCCTGCTAAAGGGGTTTTTCATTTAGTATGAAATTTACACCGTGAACTATAATTTTTTGCGAATAGGTGACTAAAATAACCAAATATCTTTGTGGAACAGTTAAGATTACCGCAAAGAAATGTCGGACTCTGATAATCTTATTCATAAGATAACGTTTTCAATCTATTGGTATTCTGAACTTGGTCTCTATATCTTATGGATGAGTTCAAGATCAAGATTCAAGAGTAATTTTTCTTTACGACGAAATAACATTCGCACCGATCCGAGAAAAACATGGTTTTGTTTTGATGACCGCAAAGTTATTCATATTTCCAATTAAACACAAATGGATGTAATGTCGGCCTAAATGCCCCTAATTTGGGCGCATACATAAATTCAGTAATCGACTAAATTTTCAATCCATTAGTACCGTCCCAATGACGCGTTCATCTAGATAAAATTGATAAATAGCAGATTTTTAGCGATGGGCCCAATCTTAGATCCATAGGCCAACATTAGAGCCATTCCCCTATCACGATTATTGTTTAGAAGGGACGTATCTGCTTTTGTAAACAATGCATTTGATCGTCGATTTGTCATACAGATATAATCTCATAGGATGCTCATTTTCAGTTTGAAAATATGCTTGGAACTCTTATCGTATATTGGAATTCTCTTGAAATTCCCCTAAGAATTTCTTTGGAATCCTCCATAGAATTCCTTTAATATTATTCTGAGAAATACATTACTTGGAAAATTATCTCGAAATTGTAATCAACGCTCTCCTCAGAAATCCTAGCATGTGTGGACTAGAAAAGGGACTAGGCTAGACTAGAAACCTCTCCTCTCTTCCTGAGTCCATTTCTTTTTAAATCAGCTTCAGAACACCATTTGAATTCTGTTTATTATTCTCTTTGAATTCTCATCAAAATACTCTTAAAATTCACTTGATGTCCTCCTCATGATTCCCATAAAATTCTCGTTGAAGTTATTTCCACCATTATCATGGAATAATTCTATAAATTACCAAGGAACTCAATTAATACAGAACTTCTTTTCTTCCAACAGAAATTCCTTTGAATTCATCATATAATTTCTGAGCACTTATCTCAGAATTATCTTTTAATCTTAGTTAGAACTCATCTAGGATGTTAGCCAGAATATTGTGGTAATTCTTCTCAGCATTACTTTTGAATTCACACTTTAATTTCATTTAAATTCTCCTGAGATTTATCTAGATCTTTTTAGTTGTTCGAGACCTGAACATTCTTGAAAAGTTTTCAGGGCAAAAAAAAAATGATTCGAAAATTGCACATTTTGAGTATTGTTCTCAATCCCATATTAAAAAAAAACATAAGTTTTCTTTCAAAAACTAGGAACTTGAAGATTTTTATAGATCACAAATCTCTGACAAAATAAGCATAGCCCAATGCTCCTTACAAATGTCAAAGCCTCAGAATGATAATCATAAACGAATCGTATATATGCGAGTAATTGCCATGTATACCGGATATTCTAGGTTCTCTAAATCGTCCTGGAGTTCAGTTGATTTGTTCTACTGTATCAACCAAGACTGCAATAATGTCTGTAGTATCGAAATATGTCCAAACAGATTCAAAGTGTCTATGTGCATTGTACCCGACCTATTGCTACGTATACAAGATGTTATAGGTTCTGAAATCATTCTGGAGATCAGATTATTTTTCTACTAGATCACCTAAGACTAATTCAATATCTGTAGTATCGAAATATGCCCAAACAAATTTGCAGTGTCTATGTGGATCATGTCAACCTATTTCCGTGTATGCCAAATGTTCTAGGATTTCCAGTATTTCGATATTTCGATACTACAGATATTATCCTAGTCTTCGTTGATCTAGTAAACAAATCTTCTGAACTGCAGGACTATTTGGAAAACCTAGATCATCTGGTATACGTGGTAATAATTAAACATTATCCATATAGACGCTATGAATCTGTTTGGACATATTTCGATACTACAGACTTTATCCCAGTCATGGTTGAACTAGTAGAATGAATCATCTGTCATCAATCATCAATCATCTCCAGAACGATTTGGAGAACTTAAAACAGTTGGTATACATGACAATAGTTCATGTATGATTCACATATACACTGTGCATCTGTCTGGAAATATTTCGATACTAAAGACATCGTCCCAATCTCGGTTGATCTAGTTGATCAAATTATCTGAACTCCAGGACGATTTGAAGAACCTTGAACTTCTGGATTACTCGGAAATAGATCATGCATGATCCACATAGGCACAAATCAACTGATGTCCTGGACGATTTGGAAAACCTATAATTTCCGGTATACATAGTAATAAGTCGTGCATGATCCACAAAGTCATATATATACGATTCGGTTATGATTTGACGACGAAAAGTGCTAGGTTCATATTAGAAATTAAAAAAAATATCATGAAAATGTCTCACCATTGGACAGAACCCAAGGAATATCCGTGTAAATACACAACCGCGAAGTGACCGACAAGTGTGACTTATGAAACTCTGGTATTTCTGCTTTGTATCGGTAAAAAATTGAGAAAACTAGAGCCAAATCCTACACCATTTAGGACAGTAAAATACGTCAGAGACGCAATGGTTAATTTTCAAGAAAATTTGCATTTCAAATGAAAATGCATTATTTTTTTTTAAATAATGTTCCATTAAATCTAGGCCGGTACTATTCAATAGAATCTCATAATGTAAGGGTGTATAAAACACTTCACTAAATAGAATTTATACTATACATAAATAACTAAAGATGATACAATGTTATTTAAAAAAAAATAAAGGTTACAAACGATACTCCTTTAGCTCAGTCGGTAAAGGCGCAGATACAAAGCAAGTCCATGCTGGAGGCGACTGAGTTCGATTCCAGTCCGGTCTATCAATTGTTCGGGTTGGAAAATTTCTCTACTTCCTTGGGCATAGGATGGTACAGGCATAGAAAGCTCTCAATTAAAATGTGAAAGTACTTCAAAGAACCCTAAGTTGAGAGCAGGCAACTATCTAATATGCTATAAGCAATAAGCTTGAAATGCCATGTAGTGTAGTACAAATGCTATTTTTAGGCAATGAAAACATTTTGTTGTTGTCGCGGATTTCTTTTGAGGAATCGCGGATTTCACGGATCAAATTTAGAAAATCTTGTAACAGCCCTGATTCAACTAAAATGCGTTCGGCCTAGTAGACCATACAAATATTCCATGGGTACAACATTTCAAAACAAAAAATTCAAAAATATCGATTTTAGAAGCGAAAACAGAAAGAAATACTATTTGAGAGGGTAGTTTGGTAAAAATGAAAGCTATTATGAGCATAAAATATCATTTTTTCGAAAATGGTCTCTCCATAAAAATAAATCGCCGTAACTTGTTTTACTAGTGACATCTGTTGCGAAAATCACATGCTGGTAACTCTTTGATGTGATTTTTCGGTTTGTTGCGTTTTGCAATTTTTTTTTCTCGTGACATCTTTTGCTGAAATCAACCATGCCGAAATTCCTTTTTGTTTGACATATTTTACAGTTAATATGAAAACCGGGAAAATATGGTGGGCACCCGGGAAAACCGGGAATTTAATTTCTTAAATTCTGTGGCCACTCTGGATCAGGCATGGAAAATCATTTGCATTCATTTCATACATTCATTTAGATTCATTCGCCTCTAACTTTTTGCTTCAACAGCATTCCGCAAAATGATGTATTGAGCGTTTGTAGGTTGCTTATAACTCAAATCTGTATCTCTTATGCATGACAAACCAGAGCGAACAGAAGCCACTACTGTTTTTCAGTGAATGTATTTTACAAAACCTACAAAAGCTCTATACATCATTTTGCGGAATGCTGTTGATGAAAAAAGTTAGAGGCAAAAGAATGTAAATGGATGTAGGGTAAATGTCGGCTTCGGCACCCATTGACTGTTTTCGGCAATCAAAATTTAAACGTTAATTTCACTATGTTTTACCATCAACACACTTCCCTGAATGTATCCAAATGATTCTTTAGTCTTTCAGCTTCAATCTGATTATATTTGTAGGACCGAGCAATCCTTTTATGCCAGATTTTTCTTCAAATGAAGCATACGTAATACAAAATGGGGCTGATTTCGAGTTGCCGATAATAGAACAGCTGGTTAACACGCAGTTCTAATGGGAAGGTTGCCGAAGAAAAAGAGGCTGCCGACAATAGTCACACTCACCTGAGAAGTTTAGAGCGTTGTAAAAACGCTTTCAAACAGTTTTGAAGAATTCTGTCGATTGGAATGGATAGAGAAGCAAGCAGCAGATGAATTGAAACAAACAGACACGTCATATATGTGCGTGACGCTGTGAAAATGCTAATAGAAGTGCGGACGCTGCTTAGATTGACGAGAATACGTAAATTCCCCTATGAAATGAATGCAAACGATTTTCCATGCCTGCTCTGGATTAGTATTATTGTGTGGCAAGTACAATCATACTCCCGGAAACTTTTTAGACCGGACGGGGACGGGGTTTATTACTGCGCCTTTACCGACTGAGCTAAGGGAGGCCACCTTCTATATTTTATTACAATCGAATTATGAGATCAGATTTATCAGTAGTGTTCCCAACTGGCGATTTTTGCAATTAATCATTTGAATGCACCATGAAATCAGAAAATGTGTATCGATGTAAGGATTTACACCATTTTTTGAAAACCAATAACAAATTGCCCATTCATGGCTTTTCAATATAATACATAGGGGAAATGCCTCTAATATTGGCCTATAGATCTAAGATTTTGCCCATCGCTTAAAAAACAGCTATTTATCAATTTTATCTATAGTTGAAGATGCTAATTCGCGAGAAATCGACGGCTAAAGCCATTGTTTACTAATACAATTACGCCCCTTTGAAATGTTGGCACTGAATTAATCAATTATTGTT